AAAGATGAAGAGCGTCCACTCCGAATAACCAGAGCAAGGGCTAGAGCCTTGAGAGGGGCTCCTCCCTACGCAAGACCCTCCGTTAAAAATGAGCAGAAAAACGTCCGTAGAGTGAATTCCAAAAGAGCAGCTTCTGAAAACAAAACTTCTGTGGCTGCTCCTGCTCTTGTCCAGCATAAGGGAAGGGCAGTGTTTACAGATGTAACAAACATCTCACATGATGAGTGTACTAAGGCGTCGAGAATTCAGGTAAGCGTGAAACACTCACGTTGTCATCAAAGGCAAATTTCAAATCATCAATGTTATATAGTTATAGTGATAGTGGGAGTAAACATTTGTTTTTGAGAGTTATTCTCCTTTGAAAGTACAAAAAACTTTTGATCTAGCATCCTGTATTCTTATTTTTTTTGGGAACTATATTATTGATACAAAATATTCATTAACTTTGCTGGTAATTAATCTCCTTCGAAAAACTTAGTTGACTACCTCTAAACCTGGTTTCTCTCCTACCATATTTTTCTTCACACACAAAACTCGTACACTTATGAAGATCGAGTCTAAATAATGAAAGTACACTTTTTTTTTATGATGATGTTGGTTGACTATCCATTGTATAGGTCAAAGGAGTTTATACGAAGAAAAGCACAAAGCAAGCTTCAGGTGTTTCCATTGAAGTTTCATCATTGCAACAGGATGTTAGAACAAAGTTAGCCGAAGAATTATCCACAACAGGGATGGTAGAATCGAATGACACCATAAGAGAGCGTGTTATAGCAAACGCCACCCTTTCATTGCTAAACTCTGTGAAATCTGATGAACTTCGGAGCTCTCCAAACAAAGGTTTTTCAATAATCTCATGTTACTAGTAGTATGCAACAAACTTTAGGTATATAATATGACATGCTGAATCACCCATTGTACAAATGATATTTTTAACTCTCTGGTTACTTTCTCAAAAATATATTTGTTGCTTGTCTTTTTCTCAACTAATTGGACCGTATTTCTTATGATTAACAGTTTGAGAATGCAAAATACTAGTATTGATATACAAGGAATTTTCAAGTTCAAGGAGTTAGTGTTACATGATAGCTCGATTGATTACCCGTAAAAAGAGTTATCTTCGAAGTTAGAATCCTGTAATTATTGTTTTGTTCTCTTGTTGGATTGTGCAGGCATAGATATGATCTGTGAGAAGCTAGGAACCTCAGACTCCCTGCCTATTGTGGACATTGATTCAGAGTTAAAAGATCCTCAAGTTTGGAGTTCTTATGCCCCTGACATATACAGCAATATTCGAGTCACAGAGGTTTGTGATGCGGTGATCTAATTACTTTTTTTTACCGTGATATGTTGCTACTATACAATTAGTTTATGCAAGTGTGACAATTTCAATAGCTTCTGTTAAACAATGGTGTGATATAATTATATAAACCTTAACTGCTGCTTTCTCTGGTATTTTCACAGTCTGACTACATTCATAATAAAGTTCTTTCAGAATATAACATCAGCTGTTAGCAAAATAGCAAGTATTCATGGATAGAAGAGGGCAAATTTTATTTAGTATATTAATATTGCCTGCATAAAAGAACTTTATAGAGTAATACTTTTACAATACTGAGAAAAGAGAAGGATACTTTCACTACAAAAAAAATTGACGGTGTGTTTTGGTGAAATCTCTCCAGCTTGAAAGGAAACCACTCACCAACTACAACTACATGGAGAAGTTGCAGCATGATATTAATCCAAACATGCGCGGAATTCTGGTTGATTGGCTCGTAGAGGTTAGTCTCGTGGCTGTGGCATCATGTATTCATTATCATGTTCATCCCATAGTCATATTTGAAATACACAATCTGCAATTACTGTTTGAGTTGGCCATCAAGCTTTGTTTGTGAGTTTGCTGAAGGTTTTCTATATCCCTTTCAGGTTTCCGAGGAATACAAGTTGGTTCCAGACACTCTTTACCTGACAGTGAACCTCATTGATCGGTATCTCTCAACAAGATTCATTCAGAAGCAAAGGCTCCAGTTGCTCGGTGTTACTTGCATGCTTATTGCATCGTAAGTTCCAAACTTTGTAAAGGTCCTGATTGAGATGGAAGTTTCCCTATCTCTTTGAACTCTTAAGCGGGGACATTAAGGCTTCTAAAATGATAATTGATTATGACACTCAGATATTACAAGTAGTAATTTTATCAATACCATTTGGTCTTAGATGTGTTTTTTTTTTTTTTTCTTTTATGAAGAAAGTATGAAGAGATATGTGCACCTCGAGTGGAGGAATTTTGCTTCATCACAGATAATACATACTCAAAAGAAGAGGTACTGTATTTGGTAGTACGGCTGGAATCTTCCGTCTGTTTTTAAAAGTAGTATTCGTGATGATTGATATATAAAACACCTAATCTGTCATTTGATAGGTATTGAAAATGGAGAGAGAAGTACTAAATCTTCTGTATTTTCAGTTATCTGTTCCCACAATCAAAACATTTCTCAGGTATGCAATATATATATAGTAACTACGGTTCTCATTTTAAAACTATAAATTTGGACCATATACTTAAGTGGATAGTCAAGATTAAAAGTTAGATAGCGGTCACATGAACACTTAAAATTATGTATATATATTTTTAATCTTGAACATTCAAATAAAATTTAATACACTATTGTTCTTATTTCTTATAATAAAATGAATTCTCAGTTGATACCAGCTCCCTGAATATATCCACGTTTTGTTGGAAATCGTCACTTAGTTATAACTTAATAGAAGTATGACGATCTTTTCTTGGTTTTCAGGAGATTCATCCAAGCAGCACAATCTTCTTACAAGGTACTACAGTAGTTATCTACTATCCATCCACAATTTATTTAACTTTTTTAGGTGATTTTATTATGCAGAAAGGAAGAATGCAAATTAACTTGGTAATTTCATCCTGTTATACAGGCTCCTTGTATTGAACTGGAATTCCTGGCAAATTATTTAGCAGAGCTTGCTCTTGTTGAACACAGCTTCTTCCAGTTTCTACCTTCCCTTGCAGCTGCATCTGCTGTCTTCCTTGCCAGATGGACCCTGAACGACTCAGAACATCCATGGGTATGCACTGTTGTTGAATGCCTAATTGCAAGTTCACCGTTCCCCTTTGTGTAGAGATGTAAATAAATTTTAAGAGTCTCGTGCCTTTATTTGCAGAATCCAACTCTGGAGCACTATACAAACTACAAAGCTTCAGAGCTCAAAACTGTTGTTCTTGCACTGCAAGAACTGCAAATTAATACCAAAGGCTGTCCCTTGAATGCTGTACGCGAGAAATATAAACAACAGAAGGTTAGAACTTAGAAGTGTGCACATTATTTGACGAAGTCTTATCCCTTTTTCAGTTGACTAAAGTTTTTAACTCCACTAGTCACATACCAAAATTGCTATATATCCCAAGACATACATAACATTATTGTACCGTTCAAAACATATTTTCTGCCCCCACCCTCCTTTTAATGTCAAACGGGTCCAGTTTGAAATATATGTTAACGTTTCAATTATAAATTTAATACATATATCCAATATTTTTTAAACCCTATATGAAAAATTATGTCTCGGTCCCTACATTAAAAATTATTTACATGTCCCTATCATTTTGTTTTGGCTTAAATATGCTTTTAACTCTTAAACTCCAGATAAATTTATTTTTAATTTTTTAAATTTAAAATTAATATTTTTTGTTCGTATAATTTAAAAAAAAAAAATATATTTTTTATTTTATATATTTAAATTTTGTTAAAAAATTTATCAAATATTATGACATAAAATTTAACTATTGATATCTTTATTAATAAAAATATCATTAAATTCAGTTAATTTTATATAATTTTTTAAACATGTCATTTTTAAATATATTATTAATGATTTTAAGAAGTGAAACAAAATTTTTAAAAATTACAAAAATTAAAAATAATATTTTTAAATTTGATGAATAAAAATAAATTTATTTTAAATTTAAGAAATTAAAAATATACAAATTTTTTATTATTTTTTTTATGGTAATATCAATTCACAATCATTTGATAAATGGCACTTGGCAGGATCATCATAATTATTTTTTATAATGTAAGGACTTGAAAGAAAAGTGGTGTTAGGCAGACCAAAATTTAATGTAAAATTATATAATTATGGAGAAAATGGGGGTGCTTAAGGGGCTCTTATTCTGCTTTATTTATTGAACCTATATGAACCGGCAAAATAATATGCACGTCTTTATCATTGCTGAAAAAGGCCTTGAGATAATTAAATGACAGTGACTTTTGCTTCCTGTCACAGTTCAATTGTGTGGCAAACCTGTCTCCAAAGCTGGTGCAGTCACTCTTCCAGGTCCAAGTGTAAATGTTTTTGGCTGTTTCCTAAAGACTAAAGGATGACTTGATTGACTTCAGAATTTCTAGCACAGTGATGCTTGATATCATCATCAGTTATATATTTTACCATTCTTTTTTATCATCAATCCCCACTTACTGTTCTGTAGTTGTAATGTGTAAGGTGGTGTAAAATTCTGGTTCTTCCAGATCTTGTAAAACGAAATTTTTACCCCAATGATACAGTTCAAAGAGTGAGTTGATGTACTAACACCCAGTAGGCTTCATTTTGAATGACACATTATGCAACAAAGCCGTACCGAAACATTTGTATGTAATAAAAATTACGTTACATACAATTTATTTTAATCACTAGATATCATTTCCAAGGCACTACTTTACCATTTTACATTTGCAGCAGTGCATCATAACTCATACTCAAGGCACAAAGCAAGCTTCCCAAGGATTTATCGTGAATTTGGGAAGATTGTCGTAGTTATTTGGATTCCTCTGCATTAAGACGCTTAAACCATGCACTTTATAAATAAATATTAATAGTTATAAAGCCTGTTTGGATAAGATTTTTCTGAATCACATAACCCAAACAGACCCATTGGATAACTCTCCTGCCCTTTAATTTTAATCTTGAAGCATTTCTTTCAACAAAAAAAAAAAAAAAAAAAAATCTTAAA